CTTCCTTGGTCATGGCTGTCTAAAATGCATCCAAACATTCAGTATCTCCTCCCTCTGCATGCAGACACTGAACGTTCCTCATAGAGATTCATTGATTCAATTCATCTCTATGAGGAGATGCTGATTGGCCAGGGCTGTGTTTGAATCATACTGGCTCTGCCCCTGATCTGCCTCTTAATCAGTCTCAGCCAATCCTATGGGGAAGCATTGTGATAGGATCAGGCTACTACTTCTGATTATGTCAGCAGACTGCTTGCTTTTCTGAGTCTAACAGCATGCAGAGTTACAACTTCAGGCTTGAATACAGTAAGATTTGTACTATATTTATGGAGGCATTAGAGGTCCAGGGAGGCTAGATGATGTTTTAACACTATAGAGGGACGGAATACATGTTTGTGTTCCTGACCCTATAGTGATCCTTTAACTTGATCAGGTGTTTGGGCTCGGCAGGTTCTCGGACTCGGGAGCTAAATTGAGCGCATAGCTGAGGGGAGGTGGAACAAAAAGTAAAATAAAATATAATAAGCATTTAATTATGATTGAAAGAATTATTAAAATAGTGTTAAAAAGTGAGGACCATTGTGGGAAGGACCTTAATTTGCCCTCTGCTCAAGCCTTCGTCCTATCCGAGCCGCCCTCCAGCTCGCCCTGTAGTACCTGGGGAGTCGAGAGTTTTGGCCGGTTAGGGCGAGAGTGCGCTTCGGGTCCCAAGACGTGTGTTGAGGCGGCATCTCTCTGGGTATTTACCTTCGCCAAACTGCGAATTTTGGGGGCGTTAAGTGTGCTTGTCTTTCAATTGGATGTCAGGAGTGGCCCTGTGGAATGGGTCAAAAGGACCTGTCTTCGCGGTTTGGGGTGACCATGGCCACTCGAGTCATTGTGTTACCCCTAATTGATTACTTAACTAAGGACCTGTGCCATGGAGACAGTAAATTCAAACTTTTTGCAACAGGTAACATTAAGAAATGAGAGAACACTTTCACTGGCATCTGTTAGTGCCAACCAGTTGTTTTGCGTCCATGTGGACTGCTTGGGTTGTAGACTTTTACAGTCCCAGTCAGGTTGTTGGCTCGTAGATTCCCTCGGTCGTGGGATGAATGATGTGGTATTGGCTGGGTCCCAGACCCTAGGCTGTGCCCGCTGAGGTATGCTGGCAGGTATTTTTGGTAGTCCCATCGTAACTAGAATTGCGGGTATTTCTGTGTCAGAGGATATCTTGTGGGTGATTAACAGGGATCTCTGTGCTCCCCAGCGGTAAGGCACTCCTGTTGTGCGTAGATGGCTTGTAAGGTGGTTCAGCGACTTGTGTCATTTCAAAGTGGCTCAGGTTAAGTCCTGAAAGAATGATAATTGGGCATTTTCAAAGGTAAGAGGGTTTTTTGCCTCGGGTTGTGAACATTACGTGGTTCCAGTCATGAGAGGTGGCACAGCGCAGGATGACATCCCGCTTAGCTGTAGCAGGTACATTGGGAATAGCTGGTAGTTGGTACAGACCGGTACAGGCTGACTGCCGATGGCAAGATAGTGGCGAGGAGTCTCCTTATGTAATGTAGTAGTTCGTCTGCATGTATTTCAGCGGGTATCCCACAGATTTTATGTGGTTGCGTTGGGCGCTGTCTTCATGAGTGGAAGTCTGTTAGTGCCGAGCCCGCAACAGCACTTGTCCTCAGCCAGCCCCTACAGTCCTGGGGTCTGGCCAGCTTTGCACCCTGCACCCTC